CCTCCCTCCTCCCATCCACACCCCGATGTTGACTGAGCACCGGCCATGTCTGGGTAGGTCAGGATGGACGTGCGGGGTGCAGACCTCTAGGTGGGAAGAGCAGGGGCAGGTCTATAAAGAAGATGCCCCAGGAAGAGCCTCTCCCGTGGGTGGGGGTCTGCGTGGGGTACTCAGCCTGGAGCCCTCAGGACCCCCCCCCCAATCTAATGTTGCCTCCAGAGTATTTGAGCCAGGAGGAGTATGATGCCTGGAGCCAGAGAGGGGACATCGTCCAGGAGGGGGTATCCGGTGGCCGCTGCTGGGTGACCCGCCGAGCCATAGAGTCCCTCCTGGCAAAGGTGAGTGGGGCCTGGGGACGGCTCTGGGGATGGCCACTCCTGCCCTGGACCAAGGGGTAGGGCCTGGGGACGGCCAGGACACTCCCCCCCCATGCTGAGGAGGGTTAGGGGAGGGGTGGGAAAACTAACCTGAGCCCTAAGGGACATGGCCCAACCTCCACCCTGGACCCCCAGCCCAGTGCTCAGTGGGGAAAGTGGGATCCTCCTGGTCTTGGGCAAGTCTTCAAATTCCGTACGCCTCAGCTCCCTCAACTCAGGAGACATTTGATAGGTATTTGGTCATGAATGAGTGAGATGGAGATGGCACACTTCCTGTGTGTATTTTGTTTTGTTTTGTTTTTGAGACAGAGTCTTACTATGTCACCCTCCCTACAGTGCTGTGGCATCACAGCTCACAGCAACCTCAAACTCTAGGGCTAAAGCAATCCTCTTGCCTCAGCCTTCCAAGTAGCTGGGACTACAGGCACCCACCACAACACCCAACTATTTTTCTTTGTTGCAGTTGCCATGTTGTTTTTAGCTGGCCCAGGCCGGGTTCAAACCTGCCAGCCTTGGTATATGTGGCCAGCACCCTACCCACTGAGCTGCGAGCACTGCCACACTCCCTGTGTTTGAAGGCCCAAATAGAGAAAGGTGGCTCACTGCGCCTGGGGAGTCCTTCAGCTCTGCTACCCCACCCAGAGTCCTTCCCCTCCCACCCCAACAGACTGGGGAGACCCTGCACCAGCAGCTAGCGGTCTCTGTTTGCCAGAGAAATTTGGTGGATAGGAACTCAGCACCACAACACAGAGGGCAGCAAACTCTCCTCCCCACCTCCTCTAAAACTGTCCTGACCGGCCCTCCCCTCAGCTGCTCCCAGGACCCTTGACACCCAGTAGGGGCTCCTCTCACTTCCTTTGAGGCTCCTGACTGACTCATTTCTCTCTCTTGCCAAGAACACTCACGCCCTTCTGGATGTCCGGCTGGACAGTGTCTGTGCCCTGCAGAGGATGGAGATTTTCCCCATCGTTGTCCATGTCTCCATCAATGAGAAGGCGGCAAAAAAACTGAAGTAGGTGTCAGCTGGGACCAGTGAGGATGGACAGGCCTGGGCACCTCAAGCCCATGGCGGTGCCTCTGAGCTCCCTGCAGGCTTCCTTGAGCTGGGAGCACTGACAGGGTAGTTTCTAGGCAACTTCAGGACAAGTCCAGCTGCCCTTGCCCTGGGGATCAGGCTGGGGACAGTCATGAGGGGGACCCTGACTCTTGGCTGTGCTCTACAGAGGCCATGCATTCACTGGGGCTCATACAGCTGACATGGTCCAATCCATGCTGGGTGAAGACCAAAACTGTTGGAAGCCATCATTTGGTTTAAGGCTAGGGTTAGACCCCTTCAAACTCTGAGAACTAAGGTTGTATTTTAGACAAGCTGGCCCCATCATGTGGAATATCACTCAGGGCCCAGGTCCTGTCTCTACAAGGTTCCCTCCAAGAGGGGCCGTCAGTGTTCTGGGGCATTTAGGCAGGGACAGTGTCATTGCTTCCCTGAGCCTGCCCCCTTCTCTGCCCTGGCAGGAAGGGCCTGCAGCGGCTTGGCACCACGGAAGAGCAGCTCCTGGAGGCAGCTAGACAGGAGGAGGCTGAGCTGGACAGAGCACCCTGTCTGTACGTCAGCCTGGCCCCTGACAGCTGGAGTGACCTGGACAGCCTGCTTGGCTGTGTCCGCCTGGCCATCGCAGATGAGCAGAAGAAGGTGGTGTGGACAGAGCAGACGCCCCGCTGACGCCCAGTGTCCCCTCCTGGGCCTGTGGGGTTCTTCGCATGCCTGTTACCATGGTCCTGTCCTCTGAGCTCAGGTCCTGGCGGGCACAGCTGTGGGGTGCTCAGCACACAAGGCCAGCTCTCGCCTCTCTGGACAGGGTCTAGCCTCAAACCCTTACCACCTGCAGGCTGTAAATGGTGGAGTCACTCCTGGTATGCTCACCTTTCTGCAGAAACTCTCTCCCCCATTTCTCCAAGGCTTCGCATAGTCTGAACCCAGGACCCTGAAGTTTCTAATGGGAGTGGGGTTTCCCCACACTTCCCAGAATGGGAAGGCTGAGACCTCTCCAGAAAACCCCGTCTGCAGACTACCCAATCTGAACACCGGGAGGCTGAGCTTTGGCCTTGCATTTCACCATGTAAAGGCATCACCCTGCACCTACCCTGCAGGCTGGAGCCCTGTTGCCTGCCAAGGTTGCTGCTGCCCTGCCCAGAGCAGAGCCAGAGGACCCCATGTGCTGGACCCCCGCCTGGCTTTTTTTAGCTTCTGATGTCTGAAGGAAGCCTCAGTGACTCTAGTTTACAAAGACCAGGGTGTTTATCTATTATTAAGCTTCTGGGTGATGGAAACAGTATTTTCAGTGGGTCAGTGCCAGGTGGGGTCATGGGCATGGAGGCCTAGGACTCTTCCTGAGCCTGGGAGCTGCCTCCCCACAACCTGGCATGGTGCCCCAGTCCCTTCCTGGGCCAAGCATCTTCCCTCCCCCTCCAGGGCTTGGGAGCCCTGCAGGTACAGCTTGGGTGGGCACCCCAGGTCCCCTGCATCCTGGCCTTGCCTCCCACCCCTGGGACTGTCCCAGACTGTCAGTCATTTTGACAACAGGGGCCTGGAATCAGGACATTGTTCTAGAATTCGGGTTGGTATTACCATAAAGGATTCATAAAATGAACTTCCGCATATTTTACTAAAATAAAAACCTTTTGTAATACTCTGTGGCCTGTGGCTTTTTCCCACCTCCAGCATTCAATGTTGGGGGGAGGAAGGAGTGGGGGAGCCCCCCCATGGAGGATGAGAGTCCTCTCCTGCCAAGCTTCTGCCCCCATGGAGGGTAGAGGCCAGGTAGGTGCAGCCCCTTGTCCATGCAGTGCTTGTGTCATCCAAGAGAATAACCCAAGCTAGAGGGATGGGGGCACCTGCGTACCTTCATCTCTGGACAATCTCAAAAGAAGAATGAGCTTTGTCCAGAAAGACCACAGGATCAGACTCAGCACTCAGGGAGCTCCGTCAGCAGAAGCCTTCCTGGGGGCTGGTAGTTGACTTTGGGGCAAACCAAAGGAGGCAGTAACAACCCCCAGAGTTGCTCAGAGGCTTCCTTGAGCCCATAGCTTAGTAACAGCCCCATGCCACATTGCCACACTGAGCATGGTTTGGACCCACTGTGACCCATGCCCTGTGGCACAGAAGCTCCCACCTGTCCACAGGTAAAGGGCTCAGAAGTACCTGTTGATTCCAAAGACCAGAGAGGGTCTCAAGTCCTTCCACCTGCAGGTTCTCAGACCAACCCAGCAAACAGCCTTCCTCGTCATGGGCTTGGGATCCTGCTCTGTCCCCAAAGTCCCCCAAGAATTCCTATGCTGGGGTACAGTTCAGACACAAGGACGGTGGTGTCCCCTACTATGGTGGCAGCACCACTGGAGAGGGAGACACACACGGTCTTCCCTCCAGGCAGAGGCATCTTGAAAGGGCTGGGAATCACTGCCCCTGGTTGGTCCCTTCCACCACCAGTCAAGAAGGCTTGTGGGAATGTTTCTGGGACGGGAAGGGAGGAAAGGTGGTCCCAGAGAGTCACAGCTCATTGTGGAGGGGCCGGCACTGGGGAGAGAGCTTCTCCTCCAGGACGCCATCAGGGGCGCATACCCAAGGGTCGTGGGTCTCCCACTGCCACTTGGCCAGCTGGGCCTGCAGCATTTCAAGAACTTGAGTGAAGCGTGGGTCACTGGCCAGGTTCTGGGTCTCATGGGGGTCCTGGCTCTGGTCATAGAGCTCCCAGCGTGCCCGGTAGTAGTAGTGGTGAAGGTCCTTGTACCAGCCCGTGGGCTGCCCGGCCGTGGTGCGGTTGAGGATGTCCTGGAAGGTGGGCGAGACGTAGAAGTCCTGGTCGATGGGGAAAGGCATGCGGAAGCTGAGGTTGTGCACGAGGCGGAAGCTGCGGTGCTGTACGGAGCGCATGGGGTAGGACATGGTGACCTCATGGAGGCTCTGGCTGCCGAAGACTGTGGTCCAAGGCGGCTCTGTCTCCAGCGCTGGCAGGAGGGACCGGCCGGTGAGCTGGACAGTCTCGGAGCCAAAGATGGTGTAGCTGGGGTAGGGGATGGAGAACCAGTCCAGGATGGTGGGCGTGAGGTCTGCAGAGCAAGTGGCATCTCAGCATAGCAGCCCCTTGGCCCGGGAGCCGCCTTTAGAAGGGCCAAGAACCTGAGCCGCTCTGGGAAGCTGGTGGCCCCCTAGTGTGCTCAGCACCCCAGTGGGGTGCTCCCTCTGCACCTCTCAGTCACTGCATCTCCCTGGGACCTGATGCCTTTAATGGTCTCGAAAAAGGCCCTTGGTGATATTTAGGACCCTTCTAAAACCCTGTGGACCAGAAAGGAAGTCTCCCATGTAGGGAGGGCTCGGCTATTCCTACTCTGTGGAGTGGCCACAGCACTCCCATCTGTTGGCTGGGTTGGAAAAGAGAAATGTGAGCCCTGAGCTGTAGGGACCTGAGTGTACAGCTGCCCTGAGCCCACCTGTAGGCTCTGCTGGGCAGTGAGCAGGCCCGGTGGTTTCTGCTCTGGGCCAAGGGGCTCACCCTGGGCCCCTCACCTGCAGTTTTGTCTGCACATCTATAATGTGGGACTGGACACCCCCAGGGCTTCATGGATGTGAGCAGGGGCCCGAGGGGCTCCAGGTTCCCAGGCAGGTGAGATAGGAACAGTGATTCTCAGAGGCTCCCCGGGCCCATGGTATCCCTGCCACCTGGGAACTAGGTAGACGAGCAAATTCTTGAGATCCCAGCCCAGGTCCAGCGACCCGGACACTCTGGTGTTGCCCATGGGCACTAACAGGTGTTCCTGGGGACTCTGCTGTCCACCTGTGGTCTACTGGGAAAGCCAATGGCTTAGACAGCAACCCGGAGACCCAGGCTGGGATTCCCCACTTGGTGCTGACAGTGTGTGTGTGACCCCAGGCAGCTCCTTTCACCTCACGCTTTCTACCTGTAGGATGGGAGTGCCGTACCTTCCTCACGCAGGTGGCATGGAACCATGTTAGACAATGGGTGCAGAGCAATGTCGGGTGTGGGCACCGTCAAAGGTTCATCTCCCCCCTTCCCCTGCAGGAGGCAGACAACATACCTAGCAGGCTCACATAGGCCTCGCTGACCTGGCCCCGGCGTTTTGGGTGCTCCGGGGATGACACTAGCAAGGGTTCAGCGGTGCCTGGCCAGTACAGGTTGGTCCTGCCGCTGGGGAAGGGGATCCCATTATCAGACGTGAAGATCACCAGGGTGTCATTTAGGACACCTGCTCCGCGCAGCTCCTGGAGCACAAGGCCAACCCCTGCGGGTGGGGTGGGGAGCAGGGCTCAGTGCAGCGACAGCGTGGGGACACGGATCATGTGCAGACTT